AAAAAAAAAAAAAAAAAAAAAAAATAATAATAATAATAATAATAATAATAATTATTCAAAATATGGCATAGCTGACAATCTTCATATTCACATTATCGATAGCAAATTGAAAAAATAAAATAAAATAAGATGATTTGGTACATATGTTTGATTTCATAATAGATTGAAGTGTCAATGATTAAGAGTCAAAAAATAAAAGTTAAAATAATGTGGAATAATCACAAGTCCAATACATAATATCATTTTTTTAAAAAAAAAAAATAGAGAAAAAGTTGAGACAGAGATATGTGAGCTAAGCTAGGCTGGAAAACATAGATTCTTTTTGCAGGAGCAAGTAATCTGCATACAGTTTATATATTTATTTGAGTTATTAATTTTATTTTGAAGAATATTAAAATTCAAATTATTTTTCATTGAAATTCATCTATATCCTCCCACAAATGCACTTCGTGGCTCCCCATTACATATTTTCATGCACCCCACAAACCTAAAGAAACTTACCCAAAGAAAAAATATATTAAATATTTTTATTATAATAATAATAATAATAATAATAATAATAATAATAATAATTACTATTATATTTGAATATTAAAAATATTGGTGGGAAATAAATTGAGCTCTCCCCATCCACCATTATTCATTCAAACCACCCAATGACTCTCCGACCCACCACCGCCGCCGCCCTGCGGCCGATTTCACCGTCCACACGGCGGAGACGCCTCCTTCCGTCCTTCCTCCTCGCCGCCCTCCTTCTCTCCCTACTCTCCTCCTCCCAAATCCCCCTCGCCTCCGCCCAGGAGTCCCAAATCGACCTTCCCAAAATCGAGGCAGCCGCCGCCGCCCTCGCCTTCGAAAACCCCAGCCTCCGGCGGGCCTACGTCGCCCTCCAGGCGTGGAAGCTCGCCATCTTCTCCGACCCGCTCAATTTCACCTCCAACTGGACCGGCCCCGACGTCTGCTCATACGGCGGCGTCTTCTGCGCCCCGTCCCCCGCCAACGCCTCCGCCCGGGTAGTCGCCGGCATCGACCTCAACCACGGCGACATCGCCGGGTACCTCCCGGAGGAGGTCGGACTTCTCACCGACCTCGCCCTCCTCCACATTAACTCCAACAGGTTCTGCGGATTGGTCCCCAAAACCTTCGAAAAATTGAAACTCCTCTTCGAATTAGATCTGAGCAACAACCGATTTGTTGGGGGTTTCCCCAAAATCGTCCTCTCCATGCCGTCGCTGAAGTTCCTTGACCTGAGGTTCAACGATTTCGAGGGCGGCGTGCCGAGCGAGTTGTTCGACAAGAAACTCGACGCTCTCTTTCTGAACGACAACCGGTTCCGGTTTGGGATACCGGAGAATCTCGGGAACTCGCCGGTTTCGGTTTTAGTCCTGGCGAATAACAATCTCGGCGGGTGCATTCCTTCGAGCGTGGGGAAGATGGGGAGGACTCTGAACGAGCTGATTCTGATGAACGACAATCTGACCGGGTGCCTGCCAGCATCGTTCGGGAAGCTCGACCAACTGACCGTGCTCGACTTGAGCTCCAATGGGTTGCAGGGCCCACTGCCGGTGGAAATCGGGCAGATGAGGAGCCTGGAACAGCTGAACGTGGCGCGGAACAAGCTGACTGGGCAGGTTACGGCTGGCGTGTGCGGGCTGCCCAGGCTGCAGAACTTCACGTATTCGTTCAATTATTTCACGGGGGAGGATGCCCAGTGCGGAAGGTTCGGTGGGGGCAGCGGGCGGGAGAATTGTATCCCGAACAGGGCGGATCAAAGGACGCCGGGCGAGTGCTCGTCGCTCGACGCCAAGCCGTTTGACTGCCGGAAGTCAAAGTGTGGCGGAGGGTTCACGCCGGTCAATCCTTCTCAATCGCCACCGCCGCCTTCGACGAAGAGTTCACCCACCGTTAGGTCACATTCACCGCCTCCGCCGCAACCACCGGGAACCAAATCTCCCCAGCCGCCTCCGCCACCACCTCCGCCTACACACAAAGTATCTCCGGGAAGTCATCTTCCACCTCATCCACCAACTCACAAGGTCTCTCCGGGAAGTCGTCTTCCACCACCACCTCCTCCACTGCCGCCACCTCCACCGCCTCCAATGGAACATCACTACTCTCCGCCACCGCCTCAATCCAAGTCTTCCCCTACGACACATCATAAATCCCCACCTCCTTTGCCATCGTCTCCACCTCCACAATCTCCACCGCCGCCACCTAAGACCGAAGAATATCACTATTCTCCACCACCACCACCCGAACACAAATCCTCCCCCACCACACAATACAAATCTCCTCCTCCACTACCACCACCACCATATGTATACTCATTACCTCCTCCACCATCACCTTCACCTCCACCATATGTATACTCATCACCTCCTCCACCATCACCTTCACCTCCGCCGCCCTACGTCTACTCATCACCACCACCTCCTTCACCATCTCCACCGCCACCACCACTGCCACCGCCACCGCCACCGTATATCTACTCATCACCGCCACCTCCTTCACCACACATACACTCATCACCGCCACCACCATCTCCACCACCGCTGTTGGTTTACTCATCACCGCCACCACCACCTTCACCATCCCCACTGCCACCATATGTCTACTCATCACCACCACCTCCTTCATCATCACCACCACAATACGTACACTCATCACCGCCACCACCACCACCTTCACCATCACCACCGCCACCATATGTATACTCATCACCACCGCCTCCGTCACCGCCACCATACGTACACTCATCACCGCCACCACCATCACCACCACCACCACCATATGTCTACTCATCACCTCCACATCCTTCACCGGCACAGTCACCATATGTACACTCATCATCGCCACCACCACCACCTTCACCATCACCACCGCCACCATATGTCAACTCATCACCGCCACCTCCCAAGTGCTCGCCGCCACCACCACCGCCACACAAACACACATCAAACCCACCACCACACGAACACATACCGCTACCTCCAATAATGGGTGTGCCCTACGCATCCCCACCGCCTCCCCTCATTCCATACTACTGACGAGTGACAAGCTAATTCTGTCGATGATTCGTGGTTTCCGATTTTGAGGGTTGCTTCTGCAAACAAGTAGTATACAATATTTTTTCATTCTATCTTCTTCTTTTTTATTTTTGGGTCATCAATTGATTGTTTTATCGGCTTCTTTCTTGATTTCATCTTTGTTGTCCATAATGTATTTGAGATCTGCGTAAGTTCACTATATGTAAAGGTGGAGTATTGGAAGGTTGAGAAGCATCATTCGTTCATTTTTATATATAGTTATATACAGTATTTATTTTGTAAACACATTCTACACCCATATGAATATGATCCATGCTTCGTCATCTTATATTTGTAAGAGATATCTACTCTGGATTATCTCAATCACTTTCGTTGTAGCAATCCATAATGATTCTAAAGTATTGTTGGAAAATGTACATATATGTCTTAGAACAAGTTTTAAGGATACTAGATAACTAATCGTTTGATTGTTATCAATTAATTATTTAATTTACCATTGAATTAATGCGTCATTAATAGAGTGAGATGATCATTGATAAAACAAAATTCTTAAATTGCATCAATTGCTAATAATTAAGAAAGTGATAGTATTAATGTATTTGACATATTGACATGTGACCTACATAAAAAAAAAATTGATTGTTATGAAGCAAACAGTTGGCTCCATAGTGGAGCCAACTTTCTAAATACAACAAGTAAACTTACCATATTCTCTGATTACCAAAATAACATTAATATAATTTTATTAATATGATATGATTTACTTGTTGTTAGGGGTGAGTAAAACCGAGCCGAAATTGAAAAACCGCACCGAACCGAGCTATTCGGTGCGGTTCTTGGTAAGTTCAGTTATCGGTGCGGTTTGGGTTTTGAAAAACCGCAAGTAATTTCGGTGCGGTTCGGTTTTCTGTCCGAAGGGTGCGGTATTAACCGAACCGCACCGAATGTCATAAAATGTCACATTTGTTTTAAAAATAAAATATCACCTTATTTTTTTATAATTTTACTTACATAACATTAATTGGTGGTTATATTTTTTAATTTCGATTAACTGAAAAACCGAATCGCACCGAACCGAAGGGCTCCGAACCGAATCTCATCCCACGTGCGATTGGGTGCAAGTGGGTGTTTAAGATCAAACATAAGTCCGACGGTTCCGTTGAGCGCTATAAAGCGCGTCTGGTGATTTTGGGCAATAATCAGGTGGAAGGCCTTGACTATCATGAGACGTTTGCTCCCATCGCCAAGATGGATACAGTCAGGTTATTCTTGGCTGTGGCTGCTGCTAAGCATTGGGAAGTTCACCAGATGGATGTTCACAATGCTTTTCTTCATGGTGATTTGGTTGAGGAGGTTTACATGAAGTTTCCACCCGGTTTTCGCTCTGGCGTTGAGGGGCCGGTTTGCCGTCTTCGTCGTTCCCTCTATCGCTTGAAGCAGGCTCCCCGCTGCTGGTTTGCCAAGTTGTCTACGGCTTTGAAGCTGTATGGTTTTTGTCAGTCCTATCATGACTACTCTCTTTTTACACTGCATCGTGATTCTGTCCATCTGCAGGTCCTAGTCTATGTTGATGATCTAATCATTTCTGGGAATGATACCACATCCATTGCGGCTTTTAAGAGTTACTTGAGTCGTTGTTTTCACATGAAGGATCTTGGGCTGCTTAAGTATTTTCTGGGTATCGAGGTTGCCCGAAATTCTTCTGGCTTCTTTCTCTGTCAGCGGAAGTATGCTCTTGACATCATAGCTGAGGTCGGACTACTAGGGAGCAAGCCAACTGATTTTCCATTAGAGCAGAATCATCAGCTCCCTCTTGCTAAGGATGATCTATTGTCTGATCCCGAGTGATATCGTCGTTTAGTTGGACGTCTTATCTACCTCGTAGTGACTCGACCTGAGTTGTCTTACTCGGTGCATATGCTCTCTCAATTCATGCATCAACCGCGTCAGGCTCACTGGGACTCTGCTCTGCGTGTGGTTCGATATTTGAAAAGCTCTCCAGGCCAGGGGATTCATCTTCGTACTGACTGCGATCTTCAACTCTATGCATGGTGTGATTCGGATTGGGCGTCTTGCCCTCTCACTCGGCGCTCTCTTTCAAGTTGGTTTATTCAGGTGGGTCAGTCTCTTGTTTCTTGGCGAACCAAGAAACAGTCTACTGTCGCTCGCTCTTCTGCTGAGGCTGAATATCGGGCAATGACTACTACATTGTGCGAGCTTAAGTGGTTACGGGGCTTGTTGTCTACTCTTAGTATCGCTCACTCTCAGCCTATGCGTTTACACTGTGACAGCCAGTCTGCGCTGCATATTGCAGCGAATCCAGTTTTTCATGAGCGAACCAAGCACATAGAGGTGGATTGTCACTTTGTTCGTGATGGTGT